CATCTCTCTTTCATAACACAAATAAGGATACCTCAGCACTGACAGTGCCTACAAAAACGAATATATATGATTGAAACATGATTACATATATTGAAGCTTGCAATTTGATGCGATACACATACCCTGTGAGAAGTACAGGTGATGTTACGTTCTATGTCACATAAAGGAACCGTGGATAAAAAATAACAAAACCTACTCGATGTCACTAAGTAAAGCAGCCTCAGACTGTGGGGGTGTTTATACTCATGAGCATGAATATCAGAAAAACGGAAAAGGTCATTCATGACGCGCGCCTTGCGTGTGCAGGCGGATGCTGGTAAACTGTCATCATTAATAAAGCCTTCTTCGCACCGGGGAAGTTGAATCTGGGTTCTGTGAAGATTTGCGTCGGTCTTTCTCCAGATAAGTGGCCAGCAGATTGTGCTTACCATGGGGCTTTACATCTAAGCGCAATTGTAAAGAAGAAACACTGGACCAGTTAGGTATATCCGGTAAAGGGATATTTCAAGGTTTCACAGAATGGTGCAAGGTCTTCGGAAATCTCATGAGAGCTGATCTCCCCATATTGTGTTGCAGCAAGACCAAACGGAAACTTCCAACGGTAGGCGATACCTGTAGAGCGAAGTAAATCTAATAAGGGGCGTACAGGTCTTTCCTACGTTTGCAGGGTGAGATGGGAGAGATCCTGAATAATTTAATTTCCGTTCCTGGTAAAAACAAGCGCTGTTTGTCCGCGAGCTCTACGTAATATTTTCCTCTTTAAATGTCGGAAAGTCGACTAAGGCAGCAAAAACTATATCTCTCGGTGGGTCCCGTGATCTCTGTCCTTTGGGACGTAGGGTCCCTATGGAGACGTTCGATCTCAATAGGAGATTCAATGCGGTCTTTTCCAAAAGATCATTAAAGATGGTTAAAAGAACTTTGGGCGAGCTGGCCAGACTCTATTGCTTCCGGTACATACCGCGCACCAACTTCCAAGTTATGTCGTCTTCCCCTATTATCCAAGTCCTCAATATGACGATCGAGCTCTCTTAGGTGCATTGGGTGTGCGTGTTCAACCTGCTTGCGCACCTCATGAATAGCAAGGCCTTGCATACTAACTTATCCTCCACTGCGGTCAGCCTATGCGCCACTGCCTGCAGGTCAATATGTAGCTCAGCTATTGCCGCTGAAAGAGTCCCTTTAATATCTGATGCAACCGCTTTCAAATCCCCGATGGTGAGAGGGGGAGGTTCGACATGGCCAGGTATGGCCGCGTTGTGGCAAAACTGTTGTCAAACTAATAGACTGTGATGGAATCTCCTTTGTAGGCGAATGTATTGGTGATGCAATAGAAGAGGATTCTGTGGTGATCCGGAGTGTGAGTACCAGGAATGGCTCCGGGATACTGCGATTAGCAGGACCACCTGTACGGCGAGGGGATCTGGAGCGAGGAGTGGTAGCTTTCCTGTCTGCCTTCCCCATGTTTGCGTCGCCTCTCTGTGAAGATTGCGTAGCCCCACCTACGTGTGTCAAGGCTCACGGTATTTTATATTGCCATTGTCTTTGGGGTCAAGCTGGATCCCCCAGAACAGATATGTGAAAATAAGAATAGGTAGTTTACAACAGGCCCAGAATTGCACTATATGCCTCAGCGTGCAGGAAAGGATAAAGCAAAACAGGGGGTCAATGGTTTCTGCTGTGCGGACTTACGGATACAGGGATTACCACAGCCTTCCCCTTATATGAATCTGTATGGGATGTCTTCGATATGCCTATCCTCAGCACAGCTTCCCTGTTGTAAAGGCTGTAGCAAGGCCTCTACAATATGCCGATATTTCCTGGGTTTGTGTGGGGGGTGACCCAATGGATCGTGAAGTGCTGGCAGTTCTCTGTGGGAGAAGGAATGTGCTCATGTGTGATGTGTCTCCCTGGACTGAAAACACACTCAGCCTGTATCCTGAAGGGCGAGGTCCTGGGCTCACTAGGCCTCACTACTCCACACCACCCCTGCTTCACATATGGGGGGGAGGAAGGTGACACTTATATTCCTGTCGTCCCGGCTGGGACGGAGGGACGACAGGCGATCGTTCACTGAACGAGTGGGAGGGGGGGTGACCAGTCTTCCCCCTTCCCACCTCTGCACCACGTGCTCTGTCACCACCGACCGGCCTGATGTGAGCAGGAGGACTCCGCTGGCTCCACTCGGCCCACAACTAGGCCACACCCGGGCACCGCCTCCGAGTGGCGCCAACAGCGCCCGAAGCTGCCCAGCAGGGACGTCGCGGGGACGGGTGAGTCCCACACTCCCCCCCGCCCTCAGATGGACACTGGACGCCGGCGAACTCCGCGGCTCCCACCCGGCCGCAACAAGGCCGCACCCGGTCACCGCCTCCGAGTGGCGCCAACAGCGCCCGAAGCTGCCCAGCAGGGATGTCGCGGGGGACGGGTGAGCCCCACACTCACCCCCGCCCTCCGATGCACGGTGGATGCCGGTGGATGCCTGCGGACGAAGAGATGAGCCGTCGGAGCTCCAGTTCAGGCGACTGGTCCGATCGCCATCTTGGACACGCCCCCAAAATTTTTTATTGTATTTAATTTTTTATTACATTTTTTTTTATTTTTTTAAGATTTTTTTTTTCATATTTTACTATGACCAAAGTAGTACAATGTTACCATAGTAACATTGTACTACTTTGGGGAGTGTGATCAGTATTTTTTTTTTTTTTTTTTTTTACACAATTTGCTTATAGCAAATAATTACTTTGAGCTATAAGCAAGCATTTACCTGAATGAAATCGATTCATTCAGCTTTTTGTGTTTTTTTTTTTGTTTTTTTTGTGCTTAGCTGTGATTTGGTCCACAGCTAATCACATGACATGTGCATGTGATTAGCTGTGACCATTCACAGCTAGGCACTAGTATACAATGGATGGCATCATGAATGAAGCCATCCATTGTATACAACTGTCATGTGACCTGCTGTCACAGCAGGTCACATGGTACCAGCAACGGGAGCCGGTACTCGGATCTGTCATCGGCCGTGTCCGAGGTGCACGGCCCGGTGACAGATTGCACTGCTGCGCCGCTCTGCATTAGCGCAAACTGCGCATGTGCGGGAGCACGCCAAATGGCGTGCACCCGGAGTGCAGAGACACTTCTGAAGCCGCCAAACGGCCATTGGCCGGGTGGCTAATGGTTAAGCTGGCCATACATAACTCACATTTCATCTAGCTCAAATCTGAGCTATGGGTGGCCCTCTCTGCACCAAGTCAATTGAACTCTTTCACTGCCACTACTATTTTTACTTTTTTTTAAGATTAATTTAAACCCCCAAACATTATATATCTTCTGAAAACAAAGTCCCTGGAGAATATAATGGTGTTAGTTGCAACTCTAGTTGTGTGGCTGTCAGAATACAATGACCCAGCTGGATGGAATCCTTCATCTCTATTTGTTTTTTATAGATAAAGGAATCTATCTAGACAGTTTATTTTTTTCATTTAACAGATATATACAAACAGCATATGGCCAGATTTAGAGACCCATGTGTAAAGATAAGTGATGAAATAATTTAAATTTGAATGTTTAAGGTGCCAAAGTACCTCTTTTATACACCTGGTGAAGGTCTCCCAGGAGGGCAAACAAACTCGCCAAAGATATTTGACTGCTTATCAGGGGCGGACTGACAACTTACGGGGCCCCAGGCAATAGGGGATCATGGGGCCCATATGTCCTTGCCCAAACTCAAAAAAAACTATGAAAAAGGTACCAGGGGCATCAAATGGGGCCCCCTACTGACACCGGGCCCGGGCAGTGCCCCGAGTTTCCAAATGGTCAGTCCGCCCCTGCTGCTTATCAAGTAAGCAGTTCAAACAGCACTCAAACCACAGAAAGAATCTGAACGGTGTCCTCCAGTATTGATACCAACAGATAACAGCCAAATAATATGCTCAATGGCAATTGAGTAACAGAGCAGAAGGAAAGGAAGGAAAACCCATAGTATAAAAATGTTTATTAATTAAAACGTGACATAAAACAATCTATAACAATTTAAAGCAGTATTGTTAGCCCTAAGGATCCTAAGTTCTAACTCTCTTGGGAACACTGCCTCACCTTCCATGCCTACAGTTCTATATATCTCAACAGATAAGAGGAAAACACCCTTTTTCTCCAGATACCAGTTTCAAAGCCTTGCCTTGCTTAGTGGCTGCTGACTTTGTACTGCATACGTTGACATGGGGGAGCCCTGTAACACCTGTGAATTTTAAATTTCTTATCCAAAATTCTGGGAAGTTAGTTCATTAACACTTTTCATAAAAAGAGGTGAGGTTCTGGTAACAAGGAATATTTGAAAGTACCCAATCCTCAGAAGTTAATTTAATTTTTATAGGGTAGTGATAACTGTCCCACCAATCAGTGCCACACAATGTTGGGAGCTAGGCCTATAATGGAGACACCTAAGGGTCTTTTGCAATAGAATTAGAGAGGGCCAACACACACATTTTGAATTAGTAACTACTGGACATACCCTGGCACCTACAATATGTATGTATTGTTATATGTCTTGTATATTTTTATTTTTTTGTACTTTATAATATGTTATAAGCATGCTTGATAATTTCCTTGTATGTAGGTGGATTGCTGATTTTCCAAGTCTTTTTACTGTACCCAATATATATATGATGTTGTGTTTTGAGCTTAAACTCAACCACCCGAGCAGCCAAATATCATATGGACCCTTGAGCTCATCCCTAGTTGTCATTAGAACAGGAATAAACAATGAGGACACCTGTATCAGTGGTAACAACCTCAGAAGAGATTTTTCCAGTTTTCTTCTTTGTTTTTGGGACAGGAAGTGAAAGACAATCTCCCTTTTTGGACAAAGGAAATAAAAAATGGGACAAAGATTCTAACCATTCCCTACCCTGTGCAAAACAAATGGAATGCTAGTGATATATTTTAAGATACATTTTTAAAACACTTCACCAAAATTATATTTTTCCATTATATTGTGAAGAATGGCTTTGAGAAATGACACCGTGATTACAGAATTTATTCTTCTTGGACTTTCTAGAAATCCAAAAATTCAATTTATTCTTTTTTTAATCTTTCTGCTTGGGTATTTGATCATTTTGACTGGAAACATTCTAATCATTGGACTCATTTTAACAGACACCAATCTTCAAACACCCATGTATTTCTTTCTTTTCAACCTCTCTTTTCTGGATATCTGTTTTTCAACTACAACCGTACCAAGAATGCTGAGAGATTTGATGTCGGTAAAGAAAATAATCACTTATGCAGAGTGTGCAACGCAACTGTACATTTGCCTCTCTTTAGGGGAAACTCAGTGTATTTTGCTTGCTGTAATGGCATATAATCGTTATGTAGCCATATGTTATCCATTACACTATACTACCATCATGAGTAGTATGGCCTGTGTCAGAATAGCTGTTAGTACATGGATTTGTGGATTCCTTCTTTCTATTTTACATGTGGCGCTTATACTCAATGTAGATCTTTGTGGGAACAATGAAATAAATGATTTTCTTTGTGAAGTACCAGAAATCTTATCTATGTCATGTGAAAACACTTTCTTCATTGAAAGCATTAATTACATAGTTGGTGTAATTGTTCTCATGATTCCTGTTGCCTTTATTGTAGTTTCATATATTAAAATCATCTCAAGTATACTTAAAATTACATCATCAGCTGGACAAAGGAAAGCTTTTTCTACATGTGGATCTCATTTGATAGTTGTGACAATGTATTATGGTTCAGTCATGGCTGCCTATATGAAACCTAGGTCAAGCTTAACACCAGAAACAGACAAAGTGATTACCATCTTTTACTGTGTTGTAACTCCAATGTTTAATCCTGTCATTTATACCCTTAGAAATAATGATGTTAAATCTGCATTTTTGAAATTTAGAAATAGATATTCTTGCTGCTCATAAAAGGAAAGGCTTCTATTATTGTTTTATATATTTCAACAGGCTCAAGAAATATTTTCAGTGCCTGCTAGTGCCTGCAGGCTTATACCAGGTTGCATATAGTTAGATATTATAGAGGCACAAGCCCCATAAGCATGGCTTCTTGCCTCTTTGTACAGCATGGGTCACAATCTACCTAAGCATTTGTTTGTTATGCAAAAAAACAAAAATTAACAAGCGTAGGACCTGCCTGTCCAAAAGGTCAATGTGGACCCTCTGGTGCAAAGAGGAACCCTAAACTATGCAAAACCTTCAAAGAGTGAAGTGACTCTAATGTTTCAAATAATGTTTTATGCAAATATTGCACCATTCATTATTAAAGCTCGAATAAAGCCATTATGCTTAGCTGCAAAATTGCTCTTCAGTTTTGGTCAGGACAAGAAGTGATGGGAGATCTCTCCAATGGGGAAACACAGAGAAAAAACATTTTTAGTAGAGGGAGAAAGGGTTGGAACTTTCGGACAATATATTATTGCTGTTTTCTTGTCCCAATACCAACTGATCTCCCATTTCCTGCATCAGAATCAAAGGAACAAGAAGTGAGGGAACACCCCCTACACAGGGTTCCAGACAGAAACAAAAACTTGTAAATGGAAATTAAAAAACCATATATGAAGGAGAAACCTGTAATCTGAGACATCAAAAACAATGAATACTTGTTGTACAACATTCCTGAAATGGTTTATTCTTATTAGTCGTTTATGATTTATTATATATAAGGATGACAGTAGAACCTACCTGTTGATTAATGCTATCTTTTCTGTCTCTTTGTAAATATCTTTAAACTTGAAAAAAAAATATTTGTGTAAAAATAAAACAATGGTGGCTCTAAGCCTCTCAAAATACACTTTAATAAGACAAAATGGATCAAGAAATTATGTTTGGTAGAGGCATCACATAGAAATAAGATCTAATAATTTTTTCTGCTATAGTGAGTTGGTTTTCTACATTGAAAAGGTAATTTTGCTTTTAATAATGTATACACTATATTGCCAAACGTATTGGGACACCCCTCCAAATCATTGGATTCAGGTGTTCTAATCATGTCCATGGCCACAGGTGTGTAAAATCAAGCACCTAGGAATGCAGACTGCTTCTACAAACATTTGTGAAAGAATGGGTCACTGTCAGGAGCTCACGTGATGCGTAAGCACGCGTATGAGCTTGCAGTGATTACAGTGACCGGAGTCTACCCTTTTTTCACTTATGCTGATCATATCAGTGTCATTGATGACGCTGACTAATGTGAGTGTGATGTGGATGTTTTATTAGAATAAAGCATTTTTAATGGTTTCACGCTATGGAGTTCCCTCTTTCTTTCTTCTCATATGGCTCCAGGTCAGGGGCCGACTGACAATTCATGGTGCCCCTGGGCAATAGGGGATCATGGGGCCCCTGTGTCCTTGCTCAAACTCAAAAAAGCCTATGAAAAAGGTACCAGGGGCATCTCATGGGGCCCCCTACTGACCCTAGGCCCTCGGGCAGTGCCCGAGTTTCCAAATGGTCAGTCCACCCCTGCTCCAGGTATAAATGAGGAGGGTCCAGATAAGAGGTTATAAGAGTCATTAACATCACTGCAGATCATTGTTCCCAGAGCCAATGCGTAGTATCTGGTTTATAATTTGACCAGCCTGGAGCTCTGGTGAGTTTGTTCAATTCGTTTGGTGGTGAATAAAACATGGTGTGGTGGTGATTTTTTAAGAAACACAAAGGATTAAAGACACAGATATATTTAGATTGAAGGACTTTTTCTTTTGCATCACGATTTGTTATGGACTATTAAACTATACATATATTTATTTATTTATTTATTTCAGGTATTTATATGAGCAGCACAGTGGCTAAATGGTTAGCACTTCCGCCTGGCAGTACTAGGGTTGTTGGTTTGAATCCCAACCACGGCTCCACCTGCCTGGAGTTTTCATGTTCTCCCTGTGCCTGTGTGGGTTTCCTCTGGGTACTCTGGTGTCCTCCCACACTTCAAAGACATGCTGGTAGGTGAATTGGATCCTGTTTAAATTGGCCCTAGTATGTGTATGTATGAATGTGAGTTAGGGACCTTAGATTGTACGCCCCTTGAGGGTTAGGGACTGATGTCAATGTATAATATATATGTAAAGCACTGCGTAAATTGACAGCACATATATATGTGTATTGCATATATAAGTATTTTTATATATTTATTTTTGCACATATTGCAACATTTTATGTAGTATGATGGGGAATGATGTGTCAAATTTATTAGTACATGACATTCTCACAGGGTTTTGCACATGGCACCTTTTTTTGCACATATACTTATTGTTATATATTTTTGCCCAAATTGATTTATATTATGATGGGGGATGTTCTATGTTGATATTATCAGTAAGCGACACTCTTATTAGGGTTTGGCATATAGCACTGTGATTGTTTTGCATTTTTTATAGTTTTTGCACTGTAATACGGTTTGTATATCTACAACATTAGTTTACTAGTCTGTATATCTACAACATTAGTTAACCAGAGGGATACTACCTACCAGGATCATATAGGGGGACCCCTAGTGGAAGAGGACCACCAGCCTCATACCAAACAGAGGGAGGACCACCCACTATCAGAGGACATCTATCAGAGGACATCTGGATTGTTTATATACAAAAGCGCATTTGTTATGCGCGTCCGGTGAGTGCGCATTGCTTTATCATTACCACACAGATACCGGACTTTTAAGTCACCTGAGCACTTATATCTTTATTTCGATTTGCTGGACTATCTTTTGAATTTTTATATATATATATATATATATATATATATATATATATATATATATTTACCATCTAATAAGGACTTATTTTCATTTTATTGGTTTTAATATCGAGCGCTGCACTTTATATATACATTAGTTTACTAATAGGGTGTTAGTGAACGCTGTTTTATCATTTTTGACCGAACCTTTTGCCTTTGGAGTGTGTCACATATTCTCTATTCTTTATGGGACCAAAAGCGTTTTCACTCTGGAGTACAAAAACATCGCCTAATTGTATTTTTCTGTTTTTTATGTAGTAGAATGATAAAGCCTAAATTTAAAGTTCACCTTGATTTAGGAAAACATGCTTTTCCCTTTCAATATTATTGTATAACGAACATGGGTTAAAAGTATCTTTTTGTGTAAAATGTTAATGCAGCAGTAAGAAAAGAATGAGCTGAGTTTGATGAGACAGAAATTTGTACAATTGTACTTTTTCCATAAACTTCAGCAGCTAATAGGTGAGTCTTTTTTCATTTTTTTTTTTGTTCAGCTGCTGAGCTATAGTATTCTGACAGAGGAAAGATTTCCCCGCCATCAGAATACACTGATCAGCACTGCCAGCTATAACCAGATGCACTGATCGACCAGGGGAAAATCCGACAGACTAGTTGTACAGAAATCGATCGGTAAATTACCTTCTGTAGATCTGTACAACCAGCCTGCCCATACATAGTTCAAAATTCAGATTCATACAGCTTTGTGTTTACAAAAATTCATATTTCTATTGCACAAGCCTGTGCGACTATTTGATGCTCATGCAATAAGAGAAAAATATAATCCATATCATCCAACCTCTTTGTTGTGACAACAGAGTGATAATTGGAGTTCGGATCACAAAACAAAGCTTCAGCTGACCAGCAGCTTGTCCCACAACAGGGTCTACTCTCAGAGTTCACAAAAAGTCACAGCAGCTTAGCAATGTCTCAGCAAACAAGTAGCTCACAGAACACTGTGTTTAACTCCACACAACACCTCAGCAACCCTCGCTGGCTACTTTCTGCCCTTTTTAGAGCTCTCCCGCAGGTGGGCTAATCTTGAGCAATCAAAGTTGCCTCTCTTGTAGTCCCCCTTAAAGGGACCAAAAGCCAAATAATGTTGACACTTACTATCCAGGATCCATCCCTGGTATCATGTACATATTTCCACACCCCCTCCTCTTCTCATCGCAGAGGTGACAGAGACAATGTGGGACACTCTGTAGTGTACTCTAAGAGCATTGACATTCTGACTTTGTTTGCCATGCCCCTGTTCCACCATGAATTAAGTTCTTGTAGGCACGAGAAACATCTGGTTACCCTAGCATTCATGTGCTTGTTCTATTTCATCTACATCAGCGGGGTTTGGTCTATCAACAAACTGATCTTCCTGCCAAGGAGAAAATAGTGTAGTGAATCCAAAGCCCACTTGGTGAAGCATTCTTTCTCCACTAGTTTTTCTCAGTGGCCATAAACTTCCTGCTGAGAAAGACTACGGCGTGTTCCTCCATACTGACCTCTTGGGACAGAACAGCTCCTAAACCTTCACTGTAGGCATGCATGTGGACAATTAACTGTTTAGAAAAATTTGGAGCAACTAGCTTTGGTTACTGGCATAAGGTTTCTTTCAGCTCCAGAAAAGCCTCCTAGATTTTTTCATTCCACTTATCTAATTCTAAACGCTAAAGGTTTTGTTATCTTAATGCATTCACAGCATTAAGGTAAAAACCTTCCAATACCAGTTCTCTCCTCTATCGATCCAGCACTGCACCTGGCTGCAGGTCTTCTTTCTCCTCTGCTTGCTCGCACAGGCTTTGCTGAGTGCAGCCATTGGCTCCTGCTGCTTTCAGTCAAATCCTGTGAGGAGAGATGACCTACACTGCGTGTGTCTATGGACACACACAGCCCAGCCTGGGAGTGCACTTGCATGTGTGCCCCCATAGCAAGCAGCTTGCTATGGAGGCACACACAGAATAGGAGGAGTAGACAGCACCAGCAGGATCCCCAGAAGAGGAGGTAAGGGGCTGCTCTGTACAATACCATTGCACAGAAAAGATAAGTATAAACCTCTTTTTATTTTTATTTTAATTAGAAAAATAAGGGTTTACAATCACTCAAACCATGACTGACTTCTTACGCTTCATAGAGTCAGCCAGTGGTGCAGCAATAGTGACAAAGCTGAGGACAAGAAATCTGTA